CATGTGTTGGGGACTCACCACAGCTAGTCACTCTGCTAAATATTGGAGGAGGATAATCTAATTAAACGCTCAAAACAATTATTATTATTATTATTATTATTACTTCTAGACTCCCTTCCACCAAAGTCGGGTTGCTGAACAGCTGCTCCAGACCCTTTGAGTATGAGGCTACCCTCATCCATAGCTCACAGAGGTGAAGGATATTTAGGTCCAGGACATTTGCACTGAAAAGCAGAAAAGCATTTCTTAGTGTCCATATTTATTTCTCAAGGATGATTCTACAAATTGAGTGGCATTACTTGTTCCACCTCCCTGAGTGTGTGAGGAAATTAGGAGTTCAGAAGAGAAGGGCTTTCCCCTTCTTGCAAAATCTATTACAATTTTTATTATTTTTTTTTGTGGTGGTGGAGAGAGGGAGGGTGCGTTTGTATTATGTTAAAACTGCAATTGTCCACAGATGCTTTAAGGGTACTTTATCTACAATAGATAAGTATGGTTGAATATCTGTTAAAGTAAAATACCCCTGGGAGTGATCTAATTTAAAAACCAACCCCTCTGATGGTAAGATGAAAAGCAGAAGCCCAAAGACATTAAAGAAAATGTTTGGAAGCTTCCAGAGAGGCAAAGCCAGCAATGAATCTCAGGTCTCCTCATTATTTATCCGTAACACCTCCAACTTATCTATTCTACCTTTAAACAAAAGACCAGATGGAACAAACTAGACTGTAGAAATATAGCATTCTATTAATATGAAATCATCAAGGCTCTATTGAGTGCTCTTCCTTCTAGAAAGAGACGTGCCCCAGATTTAGCGTATCCCATGTAGTTCTTATGAAGATGATACTGCCTGGCAGCTAACTGCATCTCTGCCCCAGGCCCTGCCTGCCTTCCTTCAGATCTTCCTTCATCACTCGGAAAGCACATGTTTCTTTTCAAATATTCATCCTGAAGGCAAAGAATGTAAAAAGGAAACTGTCCTTTCCTCCACACATTCAGAAGTGACATGCATCGGGCAGAAGTGAAAGCATCAGGCAGACATGAAATAGACAAAGTTTTCATCCGGAATTTGGCAGGTTGGCTGAAAGTTCTAAAGCGTGGTCAACAACATCACCACATTATTCTCAAGACAAAGAATTACACACTCAGCAGGTCACTCTTCTGTTGGTGGTGGAGATGAGGCATTTTCCAAAGTTGCTCCCCCAAATGATTGGAGGGCCTATTCCTGCCCCTTTCCCCAACCTGCCTCTGAAATGAATTGAAAGTCACAGAATAGCAGGGAATTATTGGTAGAGCTCCTAAATAATCCCAATTGGATGACAGGCTTAAAAAAGAGAAGTAGTCAGAACATCCTTCCAAACAGCTTAGAAAGAGAAGAAAGTGGGTGCAAGAGAACACGCTCCTAATCCCATTAACTTGCCATTCCCTTAGGAAAAACTCAGATTATTTTTTTGCTTTGACTCCCTTAGAGTGGGCATCTGTGGTTTGTGCTTGCCCAGCACCCTTCCAGCCCTTCCTCTGGTATCATCGCTTGGATCTTCCTGTGGAGACCACTCACCTCCCTCTCACAGAGGGTAAAGACCCCACTGTGATCCCTCCCCACCCCCACCCCACCCCCCAGGCCTTTGGGGTGGGCCTCAGGTACCACTCTGAAGAATTTGTATATTCCATCCCCTAACCCCAGTTATTAGGTCTAGAATGGGCATGGAACCCAAATGGGTCATATGAGAGTCAGGAATATGGGTGAAATTACTGGGGAAGAGAAGTTGAGGTAGTAGACGATACCAGAGCTTTGGAATAGGTGGAGGGGCAAGAACTCAGATGAAAAGAACTTACCTGAGGATGACACCAGTGACAAACAAAGCCAAGTGAATACATTAAGAGAGGATGAGAGACAAAATCCTGACGACAATGTTTCAGCACCCATATCCAGTCATACCTGATGTCAACCAGTTGGTCCCTTGTTTTACTTGAGCTACTTTGAATAGGGTTTCTGTCACTTGCAAGCAAGGGAGGCTTGACTAATATACCCTTATTCATCCTCCAAAATCCAGTTTAATTACCACCTCCTGTTTGCCCTTTCCTGGGGATCCCATATTGAGTGGGATCTCCTGTGCTATTTGTCTTTAGAGCTGCTTCCCTAATTGTACTTTTCATTTGTTAGACTTTCAGATGTAGGATAAAGTCAATGTCTTACTAATTGTTAAATTTTTAATTCTTGTCCAATGCCACAGACCTAGTAGTCACTCAATATATGTGTGTTGAATTGAACTGAATTTGATTCCAACTATTCTTTCAATGAACCCTGCACCTTCCAATGGTTTCCCATAATATTGGGTTGTCAGAAAAGTCATGACACAGTTTTTCTATGTTTGTCGTTGCAAAAATGTGTCATGACTTTTCTGACAACCCAATACTTAGAATGAAGTCCAAACTCTACCATGGTCAATGGTCCTCCATGATCTGCCTGCCTCTCCCATCTCGGCTCCTTTCATCGTGGCTCTGTGCTTTTCCTTGAGCACACCAAACATGACTCCACTGTAGTCTCTTTTTAGCTGTGCCATCCTGCCAACAGGCAGCTCAGCTCGGTACAGGAATTGAACTGGCAACCCTGTTGCTCAGAGCTCGCTCTTAACCAACTGAGCCACTGCAACGGCCCCCCACTGTAGAGTCTTTGCATTGCTGTTCTTTCTTCCAGGAAAGCTCTTCTTCCAAATACTGCAGCCATTGCTCTACAGCATTGCTCGGGGCTCTGCTCAATCCTCTCCTAATCAGGGAGCCTTTCTCTGACAATCTTATCCAAAATAGCACCTCCCTTATTCTCTAATGCTTCCCCTGCTTTATCTTTGTCATGACACCTGTCACTGCCTGACTTTTTGGTACAGATTTATTTATTTCTTTATCACTGTCTTCACCTCTAGAATGTATGAAGGCAGATTTTTCTGTTTTGTTCACTACTGTATTCCTAGCACCTAGAAATGTTTGTGTTCTCAAAATACTGGCTGCTCTACATTTTTAAATAATCTTAAATATAAAAGGAGGGAAAAAGCAAACCCCTAAATTGAAACCAGCGTATGTAAGTTAACCTGTATATTACATTGTAATATAATCAGCCCAAAAAAGTTAATCTTATAACTTTCAAACATAGTGCTTTGATGATAAACCTGGGGTGAAATATTATCTAAGGAAAATAACAATTACAGCAAAAAAAAAGAAGTATATTGAAAGTAACTTGGAGGCTTCTTGTTGGAAGTGGTACTGATACAGTAATTGGGAAACTATTTTGCACATATTGTAGAGGATTGAGCAAAATAATAAATACACTGATGCTCTTGGAACCCTGGCCCTCAATGTGAAAGAAGGGGCATATGAATGCAGAATTGGGGGGGAAAAAACCCTTGTGATGTTGAATTACAATTATGAGTATTCATATGAAGTCATTTTGTTTCCTAGCTCTGTCCACAGACAAAGTCTAAAAGAAACTACATCCCAGTAGCAATGAGCACAATTAGTGATCGGGTCTTGGTTTTTAAATACCATTCTCCATTAAAAGGAACCAAGTTTCTTTGAAGAAATGATGGATTCCAGGGCTAGGGCAGGGGAAGTACAAGATAATTGTAGAAATATATTTGTTTCAAAAAGCAAGGAAGAGGGCCGGATGAGTGGCACGTTGGTTAAGAGCTGGCTTGGGATGCCAGAGGGCCCCGGTTCGGATCCCACATATGAGGGCCAGTGACACTGTCCTCCACAGCAAAGATGCTGAACAACAGCTCAACCTGGAGCTGGGCTGCCGTGAGTCACCGGCGACGGCATGGTCTGCAGCCCCTGCTGCAGTGGG